GCCAGAGGAGTGATGTTATGGAGGTGGAGTTTTCAAAAGAGAGAGAGGCCTAGGGAGGAAAACCTTTAGGAAAAAGGAAAAAACCTAGCTTCAGCAGGAAAAAAGGGGAGAAAATAGGGAAAGGAAAATAAGGAGATATGGGGAAGGGACATAGAGAGAAGAAAAAAGGGAAGACGAAAAAAAAGTAAACAACTCAAAAATTTCTTAAAAAAGAAATTTTCAAGTGTAGAAAGGGGGAGTGGAAAAGAGTTTTTTTTTTTTTTTTATCACATTCATTCCTTTTCTGCTGACAGTATATCTAAATTAACAAAAAAAGAAATTCAGTATATAGTAAAACCTCTATTAACTAATAATATTGGAACAAAAATATATTATTAATTAATAAAGGTTAAAGATCATATTATTAAATATTTAGAGTTATATTATTGGTTAATATAAATATTACAAATTATAAATTAAGTAATAAAATAATATGATCGTGAGAGTAAAATTTATTAAGTTAAATATAGAACTTGTTATAATATTTGATTGTTTGTACTTTATAATAATGTCTTCTATCAAAAATACAAAATATATAGTAATAACTGATGAAATAAGAAAATTATTGTGTGAAAAAAAAGCAAAAAATCCAAATATAACTCAAAATGAACTAGTTGATTGGATACAAAATGAACATAATTTCAAAATAATACAAGGAACAGTTTCTAATACTTTAAAAAGATCTGACGAACATTTAAAAAATGATAATTTAAATAAGCAAGCAAAGTGTCACAAATTGGTTAGATATTCTAATGTTAAAAAAGCATTATTTGAATGGTTTTTAGTACAACAAAAGCATATAAATATTAGTGGAAATCTTTTAAAAGAAAAGGCAGCAATCTTTATGAAACTATTATATCTTTCTGTACTCCTGAATTTAAGTTTTCTAATGAATGGTTAGAGGCTTTTAAAAATCAACATAATATAAAATCATTTTGACGATTTGATAAAAGTGGATCAGTAGATATAGCTAGTATTGAAGAATATCTTCTATAATTACGAATTGAACTGGATCAATATGAATGAAAGGATATTTATAATATGGATAAAACCAGTCTTTTTTTTAGAATGCAAGCAGATCATTCTTTAGCTACAAAACAATTGAAAGGTCACAAACAAAACAAAAAAAGAATAACAATTGCTATTTGTTGTAATGGAGATGGATCACATAAATTACCTCTTTGGATAATTGGCAAATTCAATAATTCTTGATGTTTTAAAAACATAAACTGGAAAAATTTAGGATGCATTTATCATGCTAATAGTTGTGCTTGGATGACAGGTTTGCTTTTTTTGGAATAGTTAGTATGGTTTGATCAAAAAATGGAAAAAAAAAAGTTTTACTTATTTTAGATAATTGTCAAGCTCATTCCAAGCATTTTGACGAATTAAAAAATATCAAGGTTATTTTTCTTCCTCCTAATACTACCAGCAAAATTCAACCATATGACGCAGGAATCATTCGATCTTTAAAGGCTTATTATCAAAAACGGTTTAATCACAAGCTTTTACATAGCATTGAAGTTGAAAAAAAATCTGAACCAGAAAAAATCAATATATTAGAGGACATTAAGATAATAGCATTGGCTTGGTCTTTTGATCTTAAACCCAAATGTATTGAAAATTGTTTTTTGCATTGTAAGATTCGAACATTAAGAGAAGAGGATCTGGAAGTAGATCTTAATTTATTGGAAGATAAAAAAATTATTGTGAAGCTTCAAAATCAAATTCAACATTTAGAATATAAAAATCCAATAAATATTAATAATTTTTTGGATGTTTCCAAAAAAAGAATAGTATCAGATATATTGACTAACAAAGATATTGTAACTATTGTACAAGAAAATATCAATGAAGAGGAACAAAAAGATAATAGTATAGAGTTAAAAAACATTAGTCCACAAAATGTATTAGAAATGCTAGATGTAATTGAAACTTTTTGGTTAAAGCAAACTGAAAATCATGAAGAATTTGTAAATATGACTCGAAAGATGCAAAATATTGTCTGTCAAAAGATATTAGCTGAGATAAAACAAACTACTCTTTAAGAATTTTTTATCGAGTAGTAAAAAGGGAATTAAGTAGATAATATTTTTTTTAAATGAAAATAGGTTTTTTTTATTTTTATAATAAATTTATTATAACTTGTATCATGAATTGCGGAAATAATAAAAATTATAAAATCAAGAATTGCGTAGTTAATAATACAATTATTTTTTTCTCCCCTTTCGATTTTAAAGCATTAATATTTTTTTTCCTCCCTTCCTCCCTCCTTCCAATTTTAAATATTAACAATACTATCATTTTTTTTTCACTCCGATTTTAAAACAATAATTTTTTTCCTTTAAAAAATTAATCATTTTATTTTTAACCGATTTTAGAACATTAATTATAAAATTGTTTTTTATTCCCTTTTCCCTTTCCCCTCCCCTCCAATTTTAAACATTAATGATACAGTCGTTTTTTTTCTCTCCCTCCTCGATTTTGGAAAATTTGTTTTTTTCTATCCCCAATTAATATAGTAAAATCTCAGGAAAAGTCCGGACTCATAAATTTTGAACACAGTGAAATGCTACTATACCATAGAAGAAAATACAAGCTATTTAATATCCAATTAGTAAAAGATAGCATACTTCCACATTTACATTAACCTTTTATGTTCTCTTATTTTACTCCCATATTTGTCAAAACACCCATGCATAACACATTCCCGGTAGTGACTTGTGATCTGTTATCTACATCAATCATGTACCATGATAAAATGTTAATCAAGTATGATGCAATTACCATACCCTTTTGCGACAAGATAATCCAAGAAAGCCAACAGATGTGCCAAGACCAATAGAGGGAACCAAGACTCGAACTAGGAGATATAGGTTCAGAGGAAGGCCAGAAGACGATCTTCGACTTTGAATCAAATGCTATGACAAAGCCACCAGCTGCAAAAATTGGACGGACAACAAAAAGCTAAAGAAAATAGGTAAGTATTTAGAGGGCATTGCGCTAAAATGATACAAAAACTGCCAAGATTAACTTGTCTGCTAGAACGACAAATGCAACCAGAAATGAAGCTTCGTACCAACGTTTGTATAGCATTTTGAAATGCTGAAGCAATGTTGCCGGTAGCAAGAAGAAGTGGAAAATATTAAGCAAGGCAAAAACAAAATGGTAGCAAAATATACCCGTAGGTTTGCAGAGTTACTCAAGAAGCTTTACTCAAAAGACGATTACGTCAAAGAAGTGGTGCATTGGTTGCTGATACTTGGATTAAGGGAAAACCTACTGGCACAACCGATTATTAGAAATGCAAATATGTTAGGAAAAGTACTCAAGGAAGCTGTGAAAATTGAATGGAAAGCAGACCAAGTGAGAGAGCTAGAAGTTCGCATCCAAAGATTAATAAAACAAGTACGAGGAATAGAGACAAAGTGGAACAAACCTGCCATCCTCACTAAAAAAAGTGCGAGTGAACTGGGGATGCCATCGGGAAAGGATTTGGATTGTGGAGACTCAAGAAAGAGAGACCACAATGCCAAAGATTGTTCAAGGAAGGGCAAGTTTTCCCAAGAATCATCTGGAATGAAGAGATCGCAATCTGACAAGGATGGAAAACTGGGAAGTTCGTCAAAGGACTCGTACACTACGAATTACGGAAAATGCCATGATGAAGGAATGGACCTCAATCTGCGAAGAAAGAGTAAACCCTTAGAAGAAACAACAGACAATTACTTAAGCGAGATCTTGGAGGAATATTATAAGGAAATGACAGCAGAACCACCTGACGAAACGCTAAAATCTGCTTATAATGAAGCTTCGATAAGAGATAATGTCATAATGGAGAAGAAGGAGGAGGACGATATCACAGGTGAACCAACAGATGCAATACAAAGACCCTACTGCAACGAAACAGTGACTGATCAAGGCAGCATGAATGACTAGTTGAGAAAAACAATTATTAATTATACTATAGGAGATACTAGAAGAGTATTTTAGTATGCCAACAGACGAAGCTTTGACATATCTTAAACGATGATGACAGTATAACTAAAATAAGGTATGATGCAAAAAATAGAGAATTAGCAATGAACCTTAAGGAATAGCGGGAATACAAGGTGCTCCAATACTCCTTCAGAAACAATAAACACCTGGACAATAAAGAGTCAGACATGTTAGTAAATCTACCGGACAACTTCTGTAATGAAAAAGAGCAACTGACCATTATGGATAATTATGATCAAGAAGAATATGCCACTGTGCAAAAGGAACCTGTTACCAACAAATTAGATCTTGAAGATACTTGGCATACAATAAAGGAAATAGGCCTATTAAGGAATTTCTGAATTTGGAGGTAGTGGCGATGAAAAACCCGAAGTGACCAAGAAACTGAAACAACATGCAATCATGTAAAAATAGCAGTTAGATACTAACAACCAGTGAGATTTAACACGAGTTTATTTATAAACTATAACAAAAGTATTATTATTATCTTGTATAATATTTAAACCAATAAAATAACAGGATTTTGTGTAACATTCTGATAATTATTAATTAGAATCTGACTTTTTTTTATTAAATATTAAGTATTACAGATTATTAACTATAATATTAATTCCCAGTTTAGGACTATTAATTTTCTATTAATTAATAGAGGTTATTAGCTAATACAG